GACCACAACAGCCCCGGGAGAAAACTGGGGTCACACGGTTCAATGTCTCTCACCTGTGCCACACTAATTGTTTTTTCACCTGTACCACACTGATTTTTTCACCTGTGCCATATTGATTGTGTTTTCACCTGTACCACACTGATTGTTTTTCACCTGTACCACACTGATTGTTTTTCACCTGTACCACACTGATTGTTTTTCACCTGTACCACACTGATTGTTTTTCACCTGTACCACACTGATTGTTTTTCACCTGTACCACACTGATTGTTTTTCACCTGTGCCACACTGATTGTTTTTCACCTGTGCCACACTGATTATCATTACAGTACATTGTTGAAAGGCTGATAAAAGTAAAAGAGAGAGAGAGAGAATTTTAATGGCGTGATAAAGAAAAGAGGAAAAAAAACACGGAAAGAATCTCTCTCTCTCTCTCTCTAAACATTCTTCAGAGCCACCTTTTCAACACCAATTAGCTTCCAAAACTAAGACAAGTGTTGAACTAAAAGGAACTTAATATACTGAGACAACAATTGAAGATGCAATCAACAATTCCAAACTCGTCCAGAGAAATACTTCTCGATGATGTACGTCCATCATGGAGAGGTACAGATATATGTATAAAGAATACAGGTAGAGTAATTAACACCTGGTAACACTATCTTCATGACGGTGACGTTATCAATATGTAGGTGTCTACATGCCGGTGATGGCCTTTCAAAATGGTTAAGTGATAATTATTGACAGAGAGGAAACTGATTTAGTGATTTCACTTATTTGTCTTATTTCATTCCGTCACGAACTCCTCTTTACTAGCTGTGTTAATTACCAAAAATACCAGCCAGTGTGTGTGTGTGTGTGTGTATGTGTGTGTGTGTGTATATGTGTGTGTGTGTGTGTGTGTGTGTGTGTATGTGTGTGTGTGTGTGTGTGTGTGTGTGTACGTGTCTGTGTGTGTGTGTGTGTGTGCTGCGCTCCATCCTTGAGTCACCTGTAGGGTCAACGAACTGCTCATGACCTGGTGCATCCCGAAGGCCGGTGCGCTACCTTCACTAGTGCATGTGCCTCTACATTACTGTACATGTTAATACCGGCACCAAGGATCCCTTCTAAATGTTCTTGGACAGCATCATATAGAAGCTACTCCACATAGGCGACGTCAACGCCCAAGTAGGCTCGAGGGAAACACGGGGTGGGATGTCCAACAGCAATGGGCTGAGACTACTCTTTCACTATGTGCAGAACACCAACTAATAATTACCAACACCATCTTAATTGAAAACAAAGTTCAAGACTTCCTGGAAATATTCCATTGGCATCTTCTTGGGGCTGATCCGGTCCATACTCTGCTTGGTGATACGCCCACACCACCCAAAACAATTATATAGCAAGAAGCTCACCTGCCGTTCCTTGAAAGACCTAAAAACAAGAGCTCAGCCACTGTAACGAGTAAAATACCCACTAAACTGCAGATCCTGACATAGACGTCACATGCTCTAAGCTCCCGGCGGCCATTCACCAAGAGGCCGTGGATTCAGTCAGTAACACCAGGCATCACCATTAAGATCGATTTGATGAAAATTCCCCTGGGATTCACGATCTAATCGAAGCCTAGCATAGAACTTATGACACATATCTTTCTGACCCACAGTCTCGCACTCTGAAAATTGCCTCTCTAACATCACAACCGAGACTCCGATAACTCAACGCAATATGGAAAACGAATGGTGGATCAAGAAGGCTGCAGATGCAAACAACGCACATGGCTTCTCAGATGCCATCAGTTCCATCTATGATCTTCAGGGGAGGAATTTCGCTCCAGTAAGATCAGCAGAAGACTGAACGTTCCTCAAAGACCGTAAACATATCCCAAACCTGAAGTGCTAAACGACCTGCCAAGCATACCGCCAATCACCCACTGTCTTGACGCCCCACCTGAGTTTTGGGAGGTCTACCGCGCCATTGCAGTAAACAAAAACGCGAGTCTGGAGGGCGTCTCCCCCCCAAAAAAAATCGTTTTTTTTTTACTCTCTCAGCGTGTATTCCAACTGATTACAACCATCTGGAGGAATGATTCAGTCCCCCAGGAATGGAAAGACGATATTTTAGTGACCATATACAAGAAGAAGGGATACAAAGTTGACTGCTGTAAATATATCTCTCTCAGTGGTCGGTGTCAGAGGGCTGGCCAGACTCATACTGCACCAATTAGCTAAGCACATTACTGAAAACATCTTCCCAGAGACCCCCTGCGGATTTAGAAAAGATCACAGTACCGCTGACATGATCTTTGTCACAACGCAGGTGCAAGAGATATACGGTAAAGAAAACAAAGCTCTTTTCATTTCGCTTATCAACTTGACCAACCGTGAACTCATCTCCCTATTGCTAGAGAAGTTTGGAATGCCACCCAAATTCAGGAACACCGGCCAACAATTCTACAACTGCATGCACACTAAAGTTCTGGCGGGAGGAAAAGTGTCTGACCCCTTCAACGTCGGTGTCAATGTGAAGCAGGGATGTGCCCCTGCAGTAATCCTTCTCTCGCACAACATCTTTAATGGAGACGACGACGCTGTCCGCGTACAATACCGGCTAGCCAACAGTTCCCAAGTTGTGGTGCGCGACTGGGTTTTTGGGGGTGCAAATCATCTCATAAAACCTGTGATATGTAAAGTGGATGTGGAGAGATGCAAGTGTCTTTTTCAGCTAACTCGGGACCATGATATTAGCAGGAAGTGTGTCTTCACTGATAATCACTGTCCAATCACACAATCTGTCACAATCAATCACAATCACCGTCGCAATAAATCATACAATTAGTTACAACATGTTAAAATTACTTTCACAATACGTTATATGTGTGTCTGTGTGTGTGTAATAATAATAATGATTAACATTAATTAACGGTTTATTGAAAGAACGTGACTGTTACATAATTGGGGAATGTGTGTGTGTGTGTGTGTGTGTGTGTGTGTGTGTGTGTGTGTGTGTGTGTGTGTGTGTGGACTCCAGGACCAGACACGAGGCCAGAGACGTGGTACACAGTGTACGCCCCCCTCCTCCTTCCCTTCAATCCAGAACCTCACATCGTGACGTCGTCGGCATATGAGCGTATCATAGCGTGTATCTCGCTCACGTGAGACTGGTAACTGTTATTCACATCACAGAAAGGGAAAAAAATAGGCGTATGAATGAGGATCGTGTCATCCGTTCTCTGGAGGGTGCAATGACGTGAAATAGGCCACATACACAAAAAAATGGTGAAATGCGTATATGAAAAGTGAACAATGACCTCTCGTTAACGTCACAAGAGATTAGGGGCTCGTGACACAACTTCATGTGTACTGATCAGTTCACTTGCCTCACCGCACTACTGGGCTGAACGTCTCCCCGCACCATTGAAAGAGACAGAAAGGGAGAGACTCACTCTCTCATCCGCACACAAGAACGAGAGTAACGCGTTGATCTGGTTGAAAGGGCAAATAGTTTCCTGGTCCTTTCACTAGGACACTTTGGCGAACTGGGCGATGTAACTAGTCATGTTAAGTCAGGTCAAAAATATGAGACCCACTAATCATCTATCCTACATCTTCCTCTAATGCTTTCAAGGCCTTTTTACCCTTGGGCCACTGACAAATTAATTTGTGTAACATATTATCAGTTTCGTACTGACCATCACCAAGGTTTATAGAATTCAATTCTCTAATCAAACTTGCTTCAACCAGAAGTCTTATCCACGTTTCCGTTGTGGATCTACATGATATATATATATATATATATATATATATATATATATATATATATATATATATATATATATATATATATATATATATATATATATATATATATATATATATGAGACAGTATCCGATTTTACATATAAATATACAAAAATGTAGAAAGTTTGGCTCGTTTGTGCTCCCTCTAAGAAGTTGTTAAGTCACACTGAGCCCCCACACACACACAATTCAACCATGACACAAAACTAAGGCATTGCGGAGGAGTGTAAGTAGGACTTGTGATAACATGGAACACTGAGTTGGGGAGAGTGAGAACAAAGTCACATTACATCAACAGTGTGACAGGTCAGGGGCACGTTAATACACTACACTATGATGCAACCCCCCAAAATACAACAAACACACCGGCTGGGAGAAGATGCTTCATGTATAGACATATAGAGGACTGTGAGGCAAGTCCTGGGTGATGGTGCACTCAGGAGAGTTAGGACGGCCTTGAAGACGTCTAACGGGTAATGTTATCTCCCTTCGTGTTCTTAGGAAGGCAGGTTGTGTCAGGTTACGTGATAACACCAACAATTTGCCGCCAGTGAACACCGCAGTAAAACTAAATGCGGGAGGCCCTGTAACGCATGTCCGCCTGCCCAGTAACCAGAATAGATAACAAAGCAGAAAAGTGGGATTAATGACTCCCTTTCACTGGTCGGTGTCAGAACATAGCTGCCGGAGTGTTGTCACGGCAACAGTACAGCCACGCGTCCTAAATTCCCTTAATAGCAACTTAAAATTGGTTGGAAAACGCGTAAATCGTTGAATTTTAGCTGTATGCTGAGAGGCCGCCGCTACCTAGCTAATAACCCACAACTACGTTGTAAAAGTACGTAATAACTTAAGAGTAGCAGCAGATGAGGAGCACAGAGAATATTTTGAAACTGTCTCGAGCGGTGTGAGAATGACTTAGAAAATGCGATATTGAGAACCGACAAGAGTGTGAGACCATGTCTAGTGCGGACCGCTGTGAGCAAGTGGCCGGTATAAGCGCAGCGGAGCTGTCAGGAGCCAGGTAGCACCACGCACACACATACACACGAACACACAAATCCTGGCCCAATGACCATGTCGAGTTGCCGAGAGAAGGTTGGCTAGATCAGGAGGTTGTAGGAGGGGAGGGAGGAGTGAGTAGGAGGATGGGGAGGGGAGGTTGGGGAGTGTTCTGGAAGGGGGGGTAAGGTGACTGGGGGTAACACCATGGGAAAGTAAGAGAATAAATAGGAGGGGCAGGGCGGTGTCTCGTCAGTCTCAACTCACTCTCCGCACCATGTACAAGCTCGGCATCCTCCTCTTTGTTGGTGAGTGGTTCTCCTCCTACCCCTTGGTACTTACGTGCTAAAGATCCAGTCATCATCTGTTACACACTCCTCACCACTTTAAAAGGTGGGGAGAGCGATTCAGTCTTTACACGATTATCTTTGAGAAGTGTGTGTGTTCAGTGCTTGTGAAACCGACATTTGAATATTTAATTGCAGTGCATCGAGGATTACACTTCGTATTCATATGTCTGTGTGCCTTTATATATATATATATATATATATATATATATATATATATATATATATATATATATATATATATATATATATATATATATATATATATCATGTGTATGTAATGTAAGCAAATTTATATACACTTATACTGTACACAAATACGTACTTGCAAGCATATTTACATCACACACCCAACCAAAGACATCATTTGCTCACATCACTGTAGAGTTTTCGTTGAGCTCGATCAATCATCAATCACCTCGGCTCACTGATGGCGGTAATTTTTGACGGAGTACAAAGACCTATTGCTCAACCCTCAATAATGGGGAAAGAAGATTGGTCAGCTCACTTCAGGGCCTCAGTACCTTGCACAACACTGTTCACTCACTCACTCAAACGTATATTTCCTCACCTTATTTTCTCACTCACTGGTAGGCTCAGCAGTAGCTCATTCACTCGCTCGCTGTCACTCAAGACCAAGCACTTATACAGTAGAGCCATTGTCTTCTTTACTCTTCGCTAGACCTCATTTCGCTACCTAACTGTTAGGTGAAATACCGTTTTCTACCTCTCAATTATCCACGTCTTAGTTATTATTCTCAAACTTCTTCCTTTCTTGCTATTTTACAGACACACAACTAGTCTTTATTATTACCATAGAATTCAGACTAAGTTAAATATATCTTCATTTGTCTGGATCTTAACAGTGCAGTGAAAGAGGTTTATTCTCTTGTTTTAAATAACATAAAGAGGAGAGGAAGTGCATCATAACACACCTGTAAAACCGAGACAAATCAAATCCCTTTTCATTAGGTTAAGTTATAGTAAGACATGTATAAGAAGAAAGCATATATTGAACTCTCTCAATTAAGTTAGGATTTTAAGGTTCTTTTCGTCGTCTATACAGGATTACAGACGTGACAATATTTCCATAAATTTAAGCAAAGTTTGATCCCGGACGTTTAGGTAACCTTATTATACGTATGTTAACATTGATAATAAATTATGCTCCATTACATTACACATAAGAGTTTTGTGGTTGAGTACACACATGTCGGTTGCAGTTTTCAATACCTGTAACCTCAGTCCCCCTTCTCTCTCTCTCTCTCTCTCTCTCGCCCACCGCACGAGTTACCAGCCAGAATCGTGCAAGAAGTGTTACGTCATCGCTGTCCTTGTGGCAGGTCGTGTACCGTTACCTGAGATAAAAACACAAGACATAAGTGAAAGTGGTGCGCGTCAGGGAAGACTTTAACATTTACTGACCTAAATTCTCATAACTTCTGAGATTATGTTAAATGAAGCTCTTCTTTAGACTGGCTCCCTGGTACTGATCTGTGAGTGATAATGTAAGCACACCTGTGGGCTATGGGAATACCGGTTAGCTTTTAAGTTACACCTGACAAACTGAACACTCTCTCCCATCATTCGCCTTTCAGTCATTCTACCTAACTACTGTAAAACAATGCTTTCCCATCACATAACTTACCATTCACTGATTTAACTCATGTATTTACTTTTTACAAAGCTAAACCCAAAAATTTTAGTTAATAAATCACAATGGGTATTTGTTCCCCTCTCCAGATTTAAATAACTTAGCCAAGATGTTTGTCGCTCTCAGAGAAATACACAACCCAGAAAACTGTTATTTCTGTTTCCTGCTTTATCAGCTGCTTCGTCTTTTTGTGTGTGATTATTATTATTATACATCAAATTAGATATAAAACTAATGGTGTGTGTGTGTGTGTGTGTGTGTGTGTGTGTGTGTGTGTGACAAGAAAGAGAACACACAGTAAGATAAAAATGATTTATAAAAACAAAAGTAAAATTGCTTAATATAGAAAATGCGGTGCATAGATGAATAGAGGAGAAAGATAGAAATATAGTATAAATGATTTAAGAGAACAATAGCTTGAAAGTTACAGCAGCGGAGTCAGTGTTTTTCTTCATTACGAAAAGGAATGAACGGAAATAGGTCGCGTGACTAGTGTGAGTTGTATATAAGAGGTTCCTTTCGCTTGCTATGGGATAGATTTGAAGAAAAGAAATAAATAGAGATACACAGTAACTGCTTAACCGATCGTAACAAGAGAGTATGTTAACCTTCCCCCCCCCCCTTTTTATTGCAGGTGTCGCTACGGCCCAACAATTCCAGTGCATTGAAGATGGCTACTTCGGCGACCCTCATCAATGCGACAAGTACTACGACTGTTACCGCGGTGCTGTGGAAGAGAAAATGTGTCCTGATGGTCTCGTTTTCGACAGAACTCTAAGCCCCAAAGTCGAGCAGTGCAACTACCCCTTCATCGTCAGTTGCCCCGAGGGTTCCTCTCTCCGTAAGTATAAACAGTGTACAGTACAGCAGCCTGTAGATATAATCCACTATTTTTTCTCCTTTTTTTACTGTCAGATATACTGGTACGACAGTGTTGTAAAAGCCTCGCCTAACCTTTTGCTATTCCATCTCCAGAGCCCCCGAAGCCCGTCGGTATCGAGTGCCCCCGCCAGAACGGCTACTTCGAGCATGAAAACCCAGCCAACTGCGCCGAGTACTACGAGTGCACCGGTGGAGAGTTCGTCCTTCGTAGTTGTGCTACTGGTCTGGTGTTTGATGAGTTCACCGGGACCTGCCAGTGGGCTCACACCGGCATCCGTGCTAACTGTGGACAAGTGAAACGTAAATATTGATAATCTCAACAGACTTAAATCCTCCTATTTTCTTAGCAGAATTTTAATGTTTTCTTTACTTATTCCAATAGCTTCTAACGCAAGTATGAAATTTATCTTGCTATTTAATCATCCTCTTTTTCATTATCTAATCTTAATTCTAAGGCTTCCTCCTGTTTAATTTCCACATCTTCCCTTTCGTGTTTCCTGCACCATTCATTATATCTCATCATAATACACGTTTAAAATCCATGTTCCGTCCCGTGGTTGACGAATATCAGATCTATAAACTACTTTCAATTTTTATCTCCTTCTCATCTTAAGAAGAAATGAGAACAAAAGTGGAGTTAAATATTACTTTACTCTTTTGTCGCCTTGTTACTGATGTTGTCCTCTCCATTGTTGCGATGTAACGACATTAAACAAAAAATAATTCGATATTATAATTCTTCTTTCATTCCCAGGTGTTCTTGACGGGTTCACCTGCCCCAACGGCACCCAGTTGCATACCAACGGCCAGGTGCTGGACCACAGCCGCTACTTGAAGGAAGGTGACTGCAGGTACTTCTACGTGTGCAATGAAGGACTATACCCCAGACTTGTCGGATGTCCCCAGGGTACTGTCTTCAACGACATCTCCCTCACCTGCGACGACCCATCAAACGTGCCAGGCTGGTAAGTCCCCCTTCCATAATCTCTATGCCGTTTGGTATAGGTATAAGAAACATCTACAGATCCTTCACTCTGACTGTGCAATATTAGGCAACAGACATTCTCATCTCTACAGAAAGACTTCACGGATATATTTCAATGGTACACCCATTCTGGCTTTCTTCAATATTACTAAAACAAAATACATAATATTTAGTAACAGACATGATATCTTAAAATTCAACATATATTTTGACATCATCATCCCTTCATCACACAGCATTGAGACTTTAGGCAGCACCCTTACTTCAAGTCTTATCATGAAAGTTTCGAATGATATTTAGCCAAAACTGCTTCAGTAAAGTTTGGACTTATGTTCGGAGCCACGTTCTGCTTCACTGGTGAACAGTTGGCAGCTATTATTGTAAGCTGACATCTGGGTGTGATGTTGGTTCACTTCTCCTCTATTCGGTACAGAAAAATCCATCAAAACAATATTCAATAATGCCCTTGATAGAAAATTTCCAACATTGCACAATCGCAGGGATATATCAGCTCTCTTCCCATTCTGACGAGCTACATTCAATAGTGCCACCACCACGCATCCTCAAAGACCCTGCGAGGGGACTTGGCAGGGAGTATAAATTTTCTGTAGAATTCTTGTCTACAGAGTGCCTGCCATCCAGATTTTATGTGTGCTCCGGACGATCGCTCTGGAGATCAACCTTCCTCAGAGTGTTTCATTAGTCCTATGATCTCAATCATCCTGGTACAAATATCTTCAGTCTTTGGCAGTGGGATGCCTCGATGAATAGAAATGACAACGACGATTGTCTGATCTTTCCTGTGTTTTTATTTGTTAATTAAAGCAATATAATTACGTAAAAACTAAACAAGAGAACGACTTTGCCAAAAATATATTTTTAAACATAAAAAATACTGATACCTCTAAATGACTGATACTGTGAGGTATAGAATCATTCTCGGACATACAGGTACGTGGTTGGCTAAAAGAGGTTATGAAGTGAACGAGTAAGTGCTAGTGTAAAACTGGACACACTGAGTCTTATATCATCACCATCCACTATACAGTGACGCAGCACTAATGATGATGAACTTGAACTGGTAACAATAAACCCATCGGCTTTCAGTTAGTCGTTCATAAATATGTAAATGCTTAGGAGGGAGAGTCTTCTCCTTTCTTATCTCTTCTGGGAAACTCGAATGGTGGTTATTGTTCTAAGTAGATTCGTTGATGAAGTTTGAGTGACCTGTAACTAAGTTCTCTGAATGTCCAGTAACTAACTTCTCTGACTGGCGAGTAACTAAGTTTTCTGAGTGACCTGTAACTAAGTTCTCTGAATGGCCAGAAAGGAAAGTGTAGGGAGCATGAGAGGCCATCCTGCTCAGGTGTATAAGGTCAGAAGCCTACCTGAGCCTACCCTGACAGCCAATATTTCCTTCATTTAGGTTTGTATTATTTTTATTGGTCCTTCCATTACCAGCTACAGTCTGTCTATAATTAAAAATCTCTCCTTTATCCAAAAACCACTTGTCAAACTGCACACTATTTATCAAACTGATACCAATATGATATTGAACTTTCCAGCGAGAACTACTACCCTGCTGATGAATTCACAAGTCCCCTTAAGAAAGCAGGCCTCTAAGAATCAGCGACCGAAGTAAACTTGAAGAATTTTCTCTAGTGTGATAAGACAGGACCGTGGAATCTTAGACGTCCCCAGCTAGATGACTTCCCCAGGCCTCCTGGTCCACCTGCCTCACGCGACGAGCAAGTCGAGGACCACCTACGCCTGTAAATCAAATTAAAAAAAAAGTTGAGACAGCCATATGCCACAAATTTGTAAAAATAGGAAATGCATTTATACACTTTTGTCATGTTATTACAATGTTTTTTTTTATGACTCTAGTCTTAGTTAAAAGTCCTGTAAATTCCTCAAAAAGTGTTCTGTGGGCTTTCAGATTTCACGAATATAGTATTCAATTCCCTTCTTTTTTTTGTTCAAAAAGATTTTTTGTACGCCATCAAACTTGCAGCTGTTGCCTCTATTTCTCAAATCATTTATTAAAAAAAAAATCTTCATTATTCTCCTGTCTACTCGTTTTTTCTTTTCGTCAGTCCTATTTTCCTTTCTCGATCTATTGATTTTCTTTTTAAATTCCTTCTTCTGTTGTTATTTATATAATGCACAGGAACACTTGTTGTGTGCTCACAAATAAAAAAAAATACATTTCTGTGTGTTTCAAATATCCTATATACCCATTTATCCACTACACACACACACACACACACACACACACACATATATATATATATATATATATATATATATATATATATATATATATATATATATATATATATATATATATTTCATCTAGATCCACAATGAAAACGTGGATAAGATCTTGATAAAATCACACGGGAAAAGGAAACAACGCTTTTATTCAAGACATCTTCAGAGGCAACTGAAGATGTCTTGAATAAAGACGAAAGCTTCATTTTATGATTGTATATATATATATAATATATATATATATATATATATATATATATATATATATATATATATATATATATATATGCAAGTAAATCACTGTAGTTGCGCGTGATCTAGGTATATGCTGATAACCACAAGGAAAGAAGAAAACACGAAGTTCCCAAGCGCTTTCGTGTAATTCACATCTTCAGGGGTGAGTACAGACTGTACTCACCCCTGAAGATGTGAATTACACGAGCGCTTGGGAACTTCGTGTTTTCTTCTTCCTTGTGGTTATCATATATATATATATATATATATATATATATATATATATATATATATATATATATATATATATATGTATATATATATATATATATATATATATATATATATATATATATATATATATATATATATATATATATATATATATATATATATATATATATATATATATATATATATATATATATATATATATATTTATCTGTTACTTCACAACTGTAGCATAGTGAAGTAGCAATGAGCAGCACGTGAAACTCACACGTCTCCTGATACCTTAGGTCCACACAGCTAGCTGTCCCGGGACGCCTACCACTCATTCCCAGGTTCCAGACAGTGAGCCACAGCTCCTCCATATTGGATAATTGCATACAGAACTCATACTCGAAACTAACATTATTAGTAATACCCAACATACATTATACAATACAGCCCCCAATATAAAACATGAAATACATATTATAAATTAATTATACATGATACACGTTAAAAATTAATTATAGAATGTAACTTAGAAAGGAAACTAAACTAAATCCGATCAGATAATTATCATTGAGCACTTTCTTCATCACCATTAGTGCTACAGAGAAGTAAAGAAACAATATCGGTGCAAATCAAAATAAAATGTAAAATATTATATTTCTTCTAATTGAAAAATACAATTCTTGTTTATATAAAATAATTTACAGAAATGAAAGGATTAACTGCCTTTTTTTTAAGGATGCTGGAACAACAATTTAATAATATAATCAAGAGACATACATACATACATACATACATACATAGACAGATAGAGAGAGAGAGAGAGAGAGAGAGGAGGGGGGGGTCGTATAAGTGCAAGACTGGTCAGAAGGAGGACAAAGCCACTCTAACGACCAGAGTGAAAGGGAGAAGGTTGGCTGTGGTAGGTGCACACACACACACACACACACACACACACACAATGAACGATGAAGGTGTAAAACATAAAACTAGCCAAAACTGATAACCATGAGGGTTGCCAACAGGGAATAGCTCTCTCAATATCTAATCACGAAACAGGGATATCAAAATTCTAGACAAAGAATACTAACATAGAGAAAGGAAAAGAATAAAAAAAATGGTGAAAATAGCCACAAGCAAAACTAAACAATAAGAAGTAAAAAAAGGCAGGAGGCAAATTGATAGCGCAGAATAAACAGGAAGAGCAAGAAGCGAGAAGAGAAGGGAGGCAGCAAGTTGTATGTTTCTCCGTTATGTTGTGGGAGAGTGTTGCCACATACCACTCACTAACCTACTGACCTTTCGTAAGAGAGAGAGAGAGGAATGGAAAGATATAATGAGACTTGAACAAGAAAAAGACAGACAGACAGAAAGACAGATAAAGAAAAAGCGAGACAAACATAAAACAGGGATAGAAGGAGAAAGAGATAAAGAAAGAAAGAGAAAGATGGAGAAGATGGAGAAACGGATCGATAATATTATCAGAATCGTTGTTCTTGTATTCTCAGATGTATTTTTGCATCTATTTTTTCATGCTTATAAATATTCTTTATACGGTGTTTTATTATTGTTGTTAATTCATAAATCTGTCATTTTTGGATAAGTTCAAACGCTATTCTCTTCTTTTTTTTCGACGCTTCAAAGTTCCAATTAGTCGATGATGATAAAGGTTTTAGAACAAATTATGTAATGTTCGTGATCAGGACAATCTTGGTGTTCTAACTTACTCTCCTTTATATGGTTGGAGGGAGGGCGGGAAGGAGGAGGGAGGGATTGAAGGAGGGAGGCTGGTAGGGAAGGAGGTTGGGAGGAGGGGGCGGGGGGTTGAGGCAGGGAGAGAGGGAGGCAGGCAAGGTGGGAGTGAGGGAGAGAGGGAGGGAGGGAGCCATGTGCCTCTGGTGCAGATTTGTTGGCTTTTACTGCCATCTGTGGTGTGTGTGGTGTGTGTGTGGTGGTTGTGGATGGAGTGTGTGGTGGGTGTGTGGTGGGTGTGTGGTGCGTGTGGTGCGTGTGGATGGAGTGTGGTGGGTGTGTGGTGGGTGTATGGTGGATGTGGTGCGTGTGGATGGAGTGTGGTGGGTGTGTGGTGGGTGTGGTGCGTGTGGATGGAGTGTGGTGGGTGTGTGGTGGGTGTGTGGTGGATGTGGATGGAGTGTCTGGGGGTAATTCCTCTCCAGAAGGTATGGCTGGTCACCCATAGAGCGTAGCGTATCAACATCAGATAATAATTAATTGTTGTGTCGTCTCCCCAGTGGGCGTAGTTTATCACCAATGGGCGTACTTTGGAGTCAGTGGGCGTGGTCCACTTACACGCTGTAAGGAAGTATGGGCAAAGGAGAAAGTGGTCACATTATGTCTCGCTTCTGTGGTTGTATGGTTGTGGTTGTATGGTTGTGGTTGTATGGGTGTGGTTGTATGGGTGTGGTTGTATGGTTGTGGTTATATGGGTGTGGTTGTATGGTTGTGGTTATATGGTTGTGGTTGTATGGTTGTGGTTGTATGGGTGTAGTTGTATGGTTGTGGTTATATGGTTGTGGTTGTATGGGTGTGGTTGTGTGGTTATGGTTGTATGGGTGCGATTATATGGTTGAAAATAATAGGTAAGAGTGTGGATGACAGATAAGGGTGCGGATGATAGAAAGATGTGGATGATAGGGGTAAGAGTGTGGATGATAGGTAAGGGTGTGGATGATAGGTAAGGGTGTGGATGATAGGTAAGGGTGTCGATGACAGGTAAGGGTGTGGATGATAGGTAAGGGTGTGGATGACAGGTAAGGGTGTGGATGACAAATAAGGGTGTGGATGATAAGTAAGGATGTGGATGATTGGTAAGGGTGTGGATGATAAGTAAGGGTGTGGATGACAGGTATGGGTGTGGATGACAGGGAAGGGTGTGAATGACAGGAAAGGGTGTGGATGATAGGTAAGGGTGTGGATGACAGGTAAGGGTGTGGATGACAAATAAGGGTGTGGATGATAAGTAAGGATGTGGATGATTGGTAAGGGTGTGGATGACAAGTAAGGGTGTTGATGACAGGTATGGGTGTGGATGACAGGGAAGGGTGTGAATGACAGGAAAGGGTGTGGATGATAGGAAAGGATGTGGATGATAGGCAAGGATGTGGATGACAATTAAGGGTGTGGATGACGACAGGTATGGGTGTGGATGAGAGGTAAGGGTGTGGATGACAGGTAGGGGTGTGGATGATTTGCAAGGGTGTGGATAACAGAAACAAATTTAAAATGATAGTTTTCTGATTGACTGACAGCGAATAGCTAAATCGGAATGTCACTATTGCCTTACCATAATCAAGAAGAGGAGAGAGAGAGAGAGAGAGAGAGAGAGAGAGAGAGATGTACTTTTCCTCAGCTGCTTATAGCGGTTGGGAGTAAACATTCTTTAAATTTGTCAATAATTCGCTAAGGCTAAACCTGAATTCATCATCTTCACCGTCATCATTACCGAAAAAGACTACAGACACACACACACACACACACACACAAACTACTATTTTGCTGTCACTCGGAATCGAGTATGACGATCATCCAACTATGATAAATGATATGAGTTATTAAGGATGTCACCTTCATTGGTGAGTTTTGGGGTGGCTAAAGAGGCCGATAAGGGACCGGCAGGGTCGTCCACAGATGTGGCACGTGTGGTGGGCTACATCTACTGTAGTGCGGGAGGAGCGGCGGCAGCGTCTTTCCGACGTTGGCGCTTGTCTGCCTCGGTATGCAATCGGGCTAACTCGAAAGTATTGACATCTTTTCGTTTGGTAATCCTCCAAGCGTTACGGTGTGGAGTAATCGTCCCCAGGTGAGGGGGTCGATTTGGCACTTTTTCAGTTCTTCCTTAAGACTATCCTTATACCTTTTTCAGTTGCCCGCCAGCGTTACGTTTACTATTCGTAAGGTGACTGTAAAGTAACTGCTTTGGCAGTCCCCTGTCGTCCATGCGGGTAACATAGCCAGTGCAGCGTAGTTATTCATGGATAATGGTAGCCTCGATGCTTCTACATTTGTGGTGTCAGCGAGAATACTGGAATTTGTTCTCTTCACACACACACACACACACACACACACACACACACACACACACACACACACTTGACCATTTAACCATCCCTAACATGAGGAATATCTTATTCGACTTTCTGCTCACTCACTGCATGGTATAAGTTAGTATCCAGAGCGCCAATGTTGAAGTCTTCTTTGGGCAGGGCGGTGACAGACGCAGGGAGGGAGGGAGGGAGGGAGGAGGTGGTGGACAGGGAGACTCGTGGCTACCGGGAGGGAAATTTCACTCTGTGACTGGAGAATTAGGAAAGTAAAAGTGATATGGGTTGGTGACTGTACCCTGTGTGTGTGTGTGTGTGTGTGAACGTCGGTAGGGAAGGTGAACGTGTAAGTGAGAGGGTAGATGAGGGGGCCCAGGCATTTTAGGGATTATGGATTGACGGGGCAGGTAAGTCCGTGAGGG